CAGAAAAACACTGATTTGAAAGAATATATGCACCCCTGTGTTCACTGCAGCACTATTTATACTAGCCAAGATTTGGAAGCAGCCCAAGTGCCCATCAGTAGATGAGTGGAGAAAAAAGCTGTGTTTCATTTACACAATGGAATACTACTTGGCCATAAGAAAGGAGAAAATTTTACCTTTTGTAACAGCATGGCTGGACCTGGAGAGTATTATGCTAAGTGAAATCAGCCAGTCAGAGAAAGACAAATACCATATGATTTCATTTATATGTGAAATCTAATGAACAAAATAAACAAGCAAACAAAATAAAAAAAGACTCATAGATACAGAAAACAGACTGATAACTGTTAGAGGGGATGGGGGTTAGGGGCTGGGTGTAAAAAGTGAAGAGATTAAGCAAAAAAGAAAACTTATGGACACAGACAACGGTGTGGTGATTACCAGAGGGAAAGGGGGAGTGGGGGGAGGTAGAAGAGAGTAAAGGGGAGATAAATGGTGACAGAAGACTTGACTTGGGGTGGTGAACACACAATACCATATACAGATGATGTATTACAGAACTGTACATCTGAAAGCTATATAACTTTGTTAACCAATGTCACCCCAATAAATTCAATAAAAAGAAAAGATGAGAAAGAAGTCGCCCTTCAAGGACTGCTGATTCTGTGCAACAGATAAATTAATATCTTTAAAAAGACAGTATAAATAAAGAGTAAAGAAAGAAATAAGAAAGAAATAGGAAGTAAAATAAAATAAATTAATAAAATAAAAATAAAATAATATATTTAATGAACTAGAGTATGAAAATAATTATAAAGCTAATAATAAAGCAAAAACTGGTTCTCTGCAAAACATAATAAATATGGCAAATATGACCATGATAGTTTGAATTATTAGTCCTCATTTTAAACTTCTCCTTTCCATAGAATTTTATATCCAGGCCCTTTGTAGAGTCTTCCACGAGATACAGTCCTTTGAGTAAACCCCGCAGCCCCCTTGATATTTGGCTGACATCGAGCAGACACGAGGGGAGCAGCAGCTTTCAACATGCTTGTGGGTCTAGCCTGGCCTCCCCTTGAGGTTTTCAGTTATGGGAAGAATATGTTCCTGGTAGCCACTGACATCAGAATAATTATATGATGTGGAGCAGACACTTACCTGCCTGAAAGCCTGAAGTAAAAATTAGCTCTTAATATTCAGCCAAACATTAACGATTAATAGCACGGTCCCTGGAATCCAACTCCCTGTATTTATAGTCCAGTTCTACCATTAACTAGCTGCATGATCTTTGACGATTCACCTCAATCTCTATTTGCATCAATATTCTTATTTGTAAATTTGGGGTAATGGGGCTAAGGAAGATGACATGAGTTAATACAAGTAGTGTCTGGCACATAGTAAGTATGATGAGAGTATCAGCCATTAGATCAAGTCGGGTATATCTCAGGAATGTAAGGATGGTTCAACATCAAAAAATAAATCCATGTAACTCACTAATTTAACAAACAAGTTTAAGAGCCTTACTGCTGATATATACAATCTTAAAACTTGAAGTTCACTTGGCCTCAAAACTAATACATGGTTTCAAAATTCTTTATACGTTTTCTTCCCAGACCCCTCCAATAAAACCTTTATGGGTTGATTTAAAACATAGTCCAAATGAATGATTGTTGTCCTCCAGTTTTGTCATCAAGATCTCAGTTTCATCTCTGTTTCATCATTACTCTGGCCATAGAGAAGTGGCCTCTTGAAGTGAAGGGTGGGCAGCGGCCTTCTCTCTTACCGCTTCACACACGGGGAAAGCGATGGTTCCGATAGTGGACAATACCTGCTCACAGGAGGAACCGTACGTCAGTGGGGACAGTGCTGCTTCTTGGCGCACCCTGACTGGTTGTTGGGTCCCTTTGTTGATGATTACAAATGACAGCACTTCTCAGAAGCTAGTTCTTCAGATAAGGGACCCTGTAAGAGCCTCTAGCGGCGTGTTTCTGACCCTCACCATCACATCGGTGAATGTTTCATGTCTCTTGTCCTTTCAATTCATTGTCTCTTGTCCTTTGAGCTAGTGTTCCTGCTTCAGGGAAGCAACCTGCTCACAGTTAGGGTTTAAACCCCGGCTAGGTTCCGCGGCATTGGCATTCACACAGCCCCAGGGAAGCTCCACCCAAGTGGTGGAAATCCACATTACCTCCCGACACTCCTGCACTCGGTTCCATTCTCCCCTTTCTCCATCTCCCCATGCCTCGGCAAGAGCAGTCCACCTACAGGATTAGTACTTCAGTAATTTTAGAGCAGGATACAATCCCTCCATTTCCACCTTAGGTGACTTAATCAGGGAAGGTGGAGTAATTTGGGCATCTCTACTTGCAAAGATTAGGAAGAGGCTAGCAAGGCCTCACTCCCTCGGGGAGCGAAGAGGAAGGGATAATTCCACCCAAGGTGCGTCAGCCTTCTTTCCTCTCTTTATTCCTCGGTACACTGACCAAAGGGGGGGAATAATTAAATCACTCATGCTGAACTGCCCACTCCCTGCAGGTTCCACAGTGGGGTCCCTGGGGCATTTCTCTGACCTTAAAAGATGAGGCACTTAAAGCCTCTTATTCCACCCTGTGGGCTCCAGATGCTGGCGCCCAGGAACGGGAGATGATTCAGCCCACACTAGACACCATTTGAGTGTTATTGCACTGAAGGAAATGCCAAAAAAATCATCTGATAAAGTTCAATACACATTCATGATTAAAATGAATCACAGCAAACTAAGAGGGAACTTCTTTTCCTTGGTAAAAGGTATCTATCAGAAACCTAAAACAAGCAATATTTTCAATGGTGAAATATTAGAAGTGTTCCCATTTATACATTCAGGGCCCCCCAAAAACATAACATCATTGAGTGTCTTCAACAATATATAGGGACTCTCTTGGCACCTTTAAATATATAAGAATGATATATAATAAATGTAAATATAATGAATAGGCAAAAATTTCTGTCATTTATAAATATAATCATATAGTTATAAAATATAAGATAATTATATTAGAAATATTAGGGGATAAATGAAAATTCAAAAAGATGGCTGAATGCAAGATCAACAAAAAAGAAATCAATAGTTTTCTTATAAACCATCAATAATTAATTTAAAATGTGATAAAAATATAGTAACAACAGCAAATAAAACCATAAACTAAGTAAAATATAAATTTAATGAGGAATGAGAAAACATCTATTTTTGTAGGCTTAGACTATTCATCTATAAAATAGGAAAAATATACCTTTCCTTCTTGCTTTTTTTGAATTTTGGGGCAGGCTCAATAATTTGTGTGCTGGGCCCTATGCACATGTAGCAAGGTGACCAGATTTAAAATGACCATTCATGAAAGAATGAAAAATATTTCTGCTCATTCCCATCTGACTTTGTGGGTTTTGATCCAGAGCTTCCTCGTGCCTAAGAAAAGAATTCTATGCAGTGAGGAAAAGCGTTAGAAGATGTGAAAGTGGGAGAAGTGGGGACACATATGTGGTTGCCTCCTCAAGCCGGTAGGGACATGGTTTTATTCCCACAGGACACTGGAACATGGTCCCATTCCTTGAGACTAGGGTGGCTCACAGAGGCCCTGGACAGAGCTCTAACTAAGGAACACATCCAGAGGGCTGAGTGGGAAATGGAAGACATGATATCACTACCCAAAATGGACTACAAAGACTTAGAGGAGGAGTTATCTTAATGCCAGCTATCAACACTGATGTTCTTCCAGGTGTTTTCTGTAGCTCCCCATTTGCCCATATAACCTGCGAGTGGAGAGCAGGTTGCCCTTCCATTCAACAAAGCAAGCATAACCCGAGATTGAATTTTCCTTTTTTTTTTCGGTAAGGGGGGCTCAGAGCCAGTTAAATTGATTTATAAAAATACAGAAATGTGATGTTTCTTGGAACCAGAGCAATGGAAACTGATGTTAACACAGTCATGATTTATTACACTTAAATCATCTCTGTTCGGCGAGAGGGTAGGGTGGTTGTGATCATGAGCTTCAGGTCCAGGTAGATGGGTCTGAGTCCAGTCTCTGTCACTTGCTCCATGTAGTAAAACTCAAAAATATTTAACTTCTCTAAGTTTCAGCGTTCTCATATAAAAAACATGAAAAATAACAGCACTGTGTAAATATTAAATAATATTTTATTTTCTAAAAGTGCTTGTCAAGGTGCTTGGTACATAGCATGTGCTCAATCAATAGTCAGTGGTGTGAACTCCTCATGAGATCTGAAGTTGTGTGGAGATATGTCCATCAGCAGAAAGTTATGTGGGTTATGTCTGGAATGGGGGTAAGATTTTCTCTAGAGGTATAAGCTAGCTGCTTTTAGGTCAGGGAGTTGACTTGGTACCCCAAGGCTCAAGACAATGTATAATATATGCCAATCACTGTGACTGGGTTGGCCTTCACCATGCTGGGACACCAGCTGGCTTCTGATGCCATGGACAGACTGATCACGTGTGTCCCCAGATGCCCAGGTTGCCAGATAATCCCCAAATTTGGAATTTCCCAGAAGTCCACCTGTTTCTATCATATGCTTAACCAGAACTTCTAAATCTTGATGGGACTGGGCAGGTGGTGGGCTGCAGAGAAAGAATAGAGGGGGCGAGGAAGCAGGCACCCTCTGCGTGATTTCGGAGGGAATCTTCTGTCCCAGGACTTCACTGTCCCCATCTATAAATGAAGGAACTGGGCAGGAGGAAGAAGAAAGACGTCTTCACAAAGGGCAAAGGTGGGGGTGCTGCCTGGAGTGCAGAGGAGGAGCTGCAGGGGCGTGACCGACTGATTAGTGATCAAGGGGGAAGCGTGAGGGCCCCACTGGGGAGCGAGTGGCTGAGAGGGCCTCCAACCCAAATAGCCTCAAATAAATTCTGTTGCAAAGGAGTTACGGCATCTCACACGTCAGGTGGAGCCACAGGATGGAGGCTGAAAGGCAAGGCAGGAGCCTGTCTCTCCTGCGGCCTTGATGCCCACTCAAAACTCACAGATGGCCAGCCGGTACTGGCGGCAGTTCTTGTCATTCCACGTCCCATCCGTGTACATCTCCACACAGGTTTCTTTGCCCCGACCCCGGGGCTCCCCCGGGTACCAGTTGGTGTAGTTTGCAGGCGTCCCGTCCAGGAGGTAGAAGGCTCCGGGGGTGGGGCCCTCGGCCAGGCCCAGGTAGGTGTAAGTGTTGTGCTTCTTCACGATGCTCGCAATGGCCTCATTCTCTTCGGGACTCCTCGGGACCGCAATGCTGCCGCCGGCTCTGCCACACAACTCTCTAATGGCATCAAAATTGCCCGACTGCCCATTGGTGGAGAAGAGCTTCTCTCCCACTATCAGCACGGAACCCTGCAAATTGAGGACTGAGAATGGGGGAATCTGGGTCAGGCCGCTGACCTCTGGCTCACATGGGCTCCCTGCCTTCATACTCTCCAGTCTGTTCTCCTCTGCCTTTCTGTCTTCCCTCCATCTCCCAATCCTGGTTTTTCTAAATTCCCCTCTGTGCTCTATTCTGTTCATTCACTCTTACATTTAACAATTACTTATTAACTGTCTTCTTATGTGCCCCAAACTGCAGTTTCTGGGATTCAGTAGAAAGCAAGATAGAGAACTTGCTTTCCCATGACGGGGAGCTAACCCATGCCTACCTCTGCCCCTCTGGCCCATCAAAGACATCAGAAAAGGGAAGCATCATTATTTCCCCCAAGACATGCATGTCCACACCTGCATGTCTCCAGGTTCTGGAGCCTGGTGCTGAGGATGAGGGGAACTTATGGGAGACCCCCTATCCTATAAAGCCCTAAGGGGTCCCTTACCTCCCCTTGACTGCAGGATTTGATGTCTGAAGTCTTGGAGTGTGCTTTGGAGCTCCTCATCTAGATAAGCTGGAAGCCCTGTAGAAAAAAACCCAATCCAGGACGTGGGCAAGCCAACAGAGACCTCCACTTGCTGCCAAGCAGGTGTGATACCAGTTGCAAGCTTGGCATTCTTCCCTCTACTGGTCCATACCCACTGCCCAGGCCCCAAGCTGTAAGGGTCCCCTCCCCCGGAGTGTGCTTCCACACTCCCTACACACTTGTCCTTTCATGCAGCCTTGCCCCTGCTGAGCCCCTCCTCGCTCACCTCTGCTGCCATGGCCTTTAATGGCTCTACTTGCCCACCTCTGTGGGTTTTCCCTGTTCTGGGCAGAGCCCCCTCCCCCACCCTCCACCAAAGGCAGGCGTGGTTCTCTGTACTCCGCTGATGGACCTGGATCACTACTCAGAGCTTCAGGGTTTCCTTCTGCATGTGGGGCTCCCAATCACACCATCTGCTTGGGTCTTTGGTCCACAAACCCCCTACACCTTTAGAATGCCCCTAGCACCTCACCCTTAAGAAGTGCCTCCAGTTCCTCTCCTCAACCTCATAATCTCTTATTTGGGTTGAGCAGCATGGCCTTGGGGGCCTCCACAGCTTTGTCTGATCCCCATCATCTCTCCTGTGACAATTGCATGGGCACTGTGCCCGCATTGCCACTGCCTGCCTTCCCCACCTTGCTTACCTGGAGGGCCTCTCTCACCAGGTTCTCCCTTATCTCCAGGCTCACCAGCCACGCCAGGGGCTCCAATGGGCCCTTCACGCCCAGGGAGGCCTGGCATTCCTCCAGGGGGACCCATGGGGCCTGCAGAGAGAAGGGGACGTGGATGTATGGTACCTCATTCGCAACTGGGCTGGACTCATGTGACTGGGCCTCCATTATCAGCCAGGCTGACTCAGCTGTCAGTACATGGGCACTTTGAGGAGAGACCCTCCACGGCTGCTCCAGTCTAAGGGCCCTGGGAAACTCCCGCCATGCTCCACCATCCAGCTGACCCTTGGACCCAGTCCAGAGCCCCAGACGCATGGGGCTCCTGAAAACAGGCCACTGTCCCTCAGATGAGGGACGGCTCTCCCAGCCAGTACCTGGAGGTCCGGGGTCTCCTTTGATGCCATCTCTTCCATCTCTGCCTGGCAGGCCGTGCGATCCTGGAGTGCCAGGGATGCCTGGGCTTCCAGAACAAATTTCCTTCACATCGCAGTGGATGCCAGAGACCACCAGCAGGACGAGGGTGAGAGCCAAAGGGCACAGCAACATGGTTCCGGCTCCAGCTGCTCCTCCTGCAGAAAGGAAGGGCTGTCAGCCCATCTGGAGCATGTGCAGAGGTCTCCCCTCCCCCACACAGCGGAGCCTCAGGGCAGGGCAGGTACAGACAGGAGCTCTGGGAAGACCCAAACTATCCTTGGAAACTCCTAGCATCGCCTGGCCTCTGACATGGTCTCACGGCCCATTGCCCCAGCTTGAGGTGGTGTGGCGCCTGGGCAAGTGAGCAGGCACAGGGTGAAGAGCTCTGGAGAGTCAGAGGATCTGGGTTCTAATAGGGTCTCTGTTTGCACATCGCTGTGTGACCATGGGGAGCGCACTTCACCACTCTTCCCCTCAGCTGAAACTTCTGTGCCCTGGAGACAGCCCTGGCCTGCCCTCCTAGGCTGTTGGGGAGGGATGCGGTCCCTCCCTCCCTCCATCTGTCCCTTATACTCTCAGCTGCCCTCTTTTCAGGTTCTAAGGGATCATGTTCCTGAGGATGAATGAAGATGACCAGGGTCATAGCCTGGCCACTCCAAGATGATCAGTGATGGGGAGACCCTCCTCCTGCTGGGGTGACCCTTTCTCCTTGGCAGGCTGTTCTATGCTCCCTGTCAGGTCTTGCTGAGTTCCTGGTGAGAACGGACCTGGCTTAGGAGCCCAGAAAAAATAAGGATAATTGCAAGCCCCTCTGCTTGCACGCGTAGTTAAAATTCTGTGAAACTGCAGGGGTGTGAGGGGAGCCCCCTCTTTCCCAGCCCGGCCCTGACTTAAGCCTGTGACTGCTGGACTGGTTCCCACTGTCTGCAACGCGTGCACTGGGATGGGGCTAAACTCACCCACACAAACAGAGCCCACGTGGATCTCTGCCTCCAGGTCAGAGTGGAGGGGTGGACAGCACCATTTATACGGAGGTGGGCTACCACACTTCCTCTCCACACTGGAGAGACTCTTGTCACAAGGGCTTCCACTCTGGGGAGTGCCGGGCTGGAAGCAGCCATCTGTTTACACAGCATATTTCCTCAAGGAGCACTCAGGCTAGAGGGGCACTTAGGAAGCCTGCTAAAGAGAAACTCCAGGTCTGTAAGAAGGGAACTTCCCATGGCCTGGAGGTCCCCTATCTTCCCCTCAACCAGTTTCCAAGCAGTGCAGGATGAGAGCACTTACCCAGGGCCCGAGGGAGGCATATGGCAAGGAAACCCTCCCCTCGTGGCCATGGTGCCCCATCTTGGCTGGTGACACAGTCACAGTCAAGGATCACCAGTCCCCAAATGCCCACCACCAGGAAAGAACATACCAAGGCGGAACTCTTTTCCCAGGGAAGCAAGGAGGCAGATCAGTCACTACAGGGTTATATCCATGGGACATCTCTCTGGGGCCATGCCAGCTCTAGGGCCTCCTCAGCTCTTGGGGGGTCGATGTGGTTCCAGACAGTGCCGAGGCCCTGGCTAAAGCTGAGGGTGGTCAGGCTGACCTGGAACAAACTGCCTGTCATGGGATGTGCCTCAGCACTGAGCTCCCCAGGCCCCCCAGCTCCTGCCTCTAGAGCCTGTGACTGAGTTGATGGGCGCATGGTTCAGAGTCACAGGTACTGACTATGGCGTCACAGGTAATGCATGTTCCCCTTTGCTCTGCACTGGCAGATTCAGCTGTGGGGAGGCAGGGCAGGGCCTGGAAGGTCACAGCAGAGCAGTGGTTTCTGCCTTTGGCCACAGGTGATGTCTGATAATCTGCGATGGCAACGTCTTCAAGTGGTGGAATAGCATATGAAGCCCTAATCGATGAGATCCCCTGTTCAAAGCCACTTGAGTAGGAGGGAATCTCAAACTGTAGGGTTAGTAACAGTGGGGAACCAAGACACACACAAAAAAATTGCCATGCTTACTTGTAAGTGGTTTGAAAAATCTTGAGATCCTCAGGAAGAGCCGGAGGACTCTCGGGGACTGATGGAACCCCACTCCTAGGGACAAGAAGCCAGCCAGAGCCTACTTGGGGCGCTGCCGGCCACGTGCCCTAATGTGTGAGCCAGGCCAGGAGGGATGGAGGAGCCAGGGCCAGGGCAGGGCTGAGGTCAGTGGGGTCACTTCCATCCAAAGGACTTCAGCTCGGCTCGGGGGAGGGAGGGCTGTTGCACAGGCGAGGGAACAGAAACAGAGATCTTCTAGGGCAGATTCTGAAGGGTCAGGGGAGGCAGCTGGGATGTCCAGGGCCATGTGCTTGCTGAGGGAGGGTGTGGATTTAGGAGTCAGACACACCCGAGTTGCAATTTGGAGCTGCCACTTATTATCCATGGGGCCTTGGTCAGATTATATAAACTTTCAGCCTTGGTTTACTCTTTTTTGAAGCAATATCAAACTTATAGAAAAGTTGCAAGTACAGTACAGAGTTTTTTTCTGAGCCTGTAAGAGTAGGTGGTCAATATGACACTCCATCATCCCAGAACTTTAATTTATATTTCACATAAATATTTTTTCCTATACAACCACAATATAACCATCGACATTAAGAAATTAGCATGATTCAGACATTATTTTTATTAAAAAGTGATAGAATGCCATGGGTATTTTATTTAATCGCTTAAGTTACCTGTTGATCTAATCACTGAAGCCACTCACGTAGCTTAATGGCAATATATAAACGTATGTCCGGCACAATCCTAATAAAAGGACTGTGAGACGGGAACTTGGCCTTGCCTCCTTCTTTGTACGGGGTCCCACCGTTCTCCCTTCCGAAACCTCTGAAAAGAGAACACTGCAGGTGCACAGAACCCAGGCTGCCCTCCATGTCTCTCTCTCTTTAATCACAGTTTTTCTCTTGATTGGAGTGCTCTGACTGCCCTTTCTGACACACACTCACACACACACACACACACACACACACACACACACACACGAGGGAGACGAAGGGAGGGAGGGAATGAGAGAGATAACATTGCCCAGGTCTCCTTAAATTCTCTGCGTGATCTCCCTGCAGTCAGAGGGGCATGTTCATTGTAATTGTACCTAAAGAAAAAGGGACAAATAAGGTAACTTACTACTTATATACAGGTCAGGGCCTAATTTCAGGAATCCAGGGGGCAGCTCAACAACGCGATGGGAGAGAGGCGAGCCTGTGATTCCCGGATGCCGTCAACACATTCAATAGACGCATACGCATTACATCTGTGCCTCTCCGATGAGTGGCGTTTCATTAAAACATAATAAATAAATCCATGTGTAGTACCTAAAAACGACAGTTTGTTTGAAAATTCACAGCACCTGTTTTTCTCTTAATATTTGACCAACGCAGCCTTTTTACCACAGAATGCGGGGAGTAGGACCTTCCTTTCTGCCCTTAGCATGTTCAGTGCTATCCTGCGCACCTTCCAGACTCCGGAGAAGCTCCTCATGTTTTAGGCTTTTTTAAGCTATTGAAGTATAATCGACCTAACATTGTGAAGTTTAAGGTGCGTGTTGGCTTAAAGCACGTATATCATGAAACGGTTACTGCAGTAGTGTTAATACCACATCACCTCAAATAATTGCCATTTCTTTTTTGTGGTGAAAACATTTAAGATCTACTGTCTCAGCAACTTTCAAGTACATAACACAGTATTGCTGACTATAGTCACCATGCTGTGCATTAGATCTCTAGGACTTGCTTTAATTGGAAGTTTTTACCATTTGCCAACATTTCCCATTTTCCCCACCCAGGCCCTGGTAGCCACCAGTCTACTCTGTTTCTACGATTCGGGTCTTTGAAGATTACTCATATAAGTGCTGTCACACACTATTTGTATTTTTCTGTCTGACTTATTTCAGTTAGCATATGCCTTCAGGGTCCATCCACATTGTTGCAAGTGGCAAGAGTGCCTTCTTTCTTTTAGCTGAATAATATTCCATGATATAGATACACCATCTCTTTTTAAAAAAAATATATCCTCATTGACTTCAGAGAGGGGAAGGGAGAGGGGGAGAGAGACAGAAACATCAATGATGAGAGTCATTGATCGACTGCCTAATGCACGGCCCCGAGTGGGGATCGAGCCCGCAGCCCAGGCATGTGCCCCGACCAGAATCGAACCGCGATCTCCTGGATCTCAGGTCAGTGCTCAACCGCTGAGCCACAGCAGCTGGGTGGTGCCCCATCTTTATTCATCCGCACACAGATAGGCATTTAGGTTGTTTCCATATCTTGGCTGTTGTGGATAATGCTGAAATGAATGTGGGGAGTAGGTGTCTGTCCGAGATCCTGTTTTCATTTCTTTACCTGCACTATGGATTAGGATAACTGTCCGGGGCCATCCCTCACACCCAGTCCTGCTGTCCTCAAGCCCATATTTGGTGCATCAAGTAATGTGATCATTCTTTGAAAAAAAAATATGACAAGATTGGGTCTGAACTCAAATGTCCTTTTAGAGTTTTCTGGTTTCATCATGGAAAAAACAATCTGTGTTCGCAAGGCCTTGTCACCTGAAACTTTCATGTCATG